TATAAAACTGTGCACATTGAGAATAAAAAAACAATATCCAGCTATGGATTTTTTTACAGTAATGAATTTTGAAAATAGCAGCAACATCAGAGATGTGCAAAATGACAGCAGCATGTTATTTAACTGACTAATCAAATTTAATAGAATTTGAGCATCAAATGTATTTTGTGTTTAGAGTTCAAGTCTTAGTTAAGTTAGAAGCATGATTCATTATCTTTGACAATGTGAGCTGCTAATTATCAGATACAATGACTCAAGTTATGATAAACTCTGGTTGATCTGATTAGTACCATATTACGACTCTTGCTAGCAGTATGCAGTCTTAATAAACACTTTTATAACAGTGAGGCAGCACATTGTTCATCAAAAAAGTGAGATCAATAGTACCAGCTGTGTCTCTGGCTGTGAAGCTTTATTTTCTGTTCTAATACCTTTGTGTCTTGCAAAGTAGCGTCCTAAGACAATGAGCAGACAGAGCATGGCGAAGACAACCACGGCCACCACTCCTCCAATAACTGCGTGGTCCACAGGCCCTGCTGCTCCTTCTCCAGCTCGAGAGTCTGAAAGAAATAGGACAAAATTAAATCAATATGAGGAACAGAACTGGGAAATCATCCTACAACCTAGTGGGAGTTTCAATCAGCCACAGAAACCACTGCTGGGATATCCGACAACAAAATCTGATAGAAATGCAAAGCTGTTTTTGAGGTGGACCATATAATGTATCTTTTTATAGTGAATGAATGTAGCAGAAAAGACTAAGACGTAAACACAGAAGACAAACTTATATTCTTATTCATGTTATTCTCTCAGGTGTAAGGAAGAAAAAGTTACACCGAAGCACAGTATCAAGTACAGGGAGAAAACTTTTATTTCAAAATAAAGTCTTCCAATAAAATATTCACATCTCTAGAACTCTTTTTTTATACATTTTTCACGTCACAACAACAGGCTTTCATGGATTTTATGAGATTTTAAGTGATAACCTGTTTTGCTCAAGAACACAACAACACTGAAAACCAGAAAACCAGAGCCGGGGCTTGAACCGACAACCCTCCTGTTGCAGGGCAAACTCCTGCATCCAACATCACTGTCATCCCATCATCTGCATACTAGAGATCATTTCACAGAGTTCATCCTTAGTTTAAAGAGGCGTTATGTACGTTTTTCCTGATAAATATATTTTAAATACCCCTTTTATTTGACACTTTACAACTAAAATATCCGTTGATGAGCAGACTGACACCTCAGTAGTTCAGCATCAATGCATCTCTTAGCCTGTAGCATAATTTACTTTGGTTTGGAACTTCCCCTGCTCGGCGGATGCTATGTCAAGTACTTCTATATCAAACTGATCTGACCTCTGCCAACAATCGAAGCAATGCATTCAAGATAGATTTTGTAGATTCCCAGAAGCAACCGACATCCAGCTCACCTCAGACATAAATGGCAACTCAATATGAATTGAAAAAAGTAAAAAAACAAAACAAACAACTGTCAAGTACGAGAGCAAGCTAAGAGCACACGCAAAGAGTTCTGCATTTCTGTGTTTTGGCCAAAGGTGGCAGTATCTTTAGAAAACTCTTTAAAATGTATTTAGAGTGTTTTTATTCACTTCCTGTCTTTCCAATATTGATTGTCTTTCTACTGCTAGATAATGCATTACACTACCAAATATGCAAATTAGGTGATACCATCTTTAAGTAACTTTTTGCAAATTTTGCAAGCCAATAGCTACATCTTAATTGCTAAAGAGTCTGCAACAGTCAGAAAAAAAAATTCTGGGAGTGCTCTGCTCACTGTGTTTTTGTTGCTGCAAACTTCCTGTTTCTTACTTTCAATCACTGCCGAGACGATGCCTAGCCCTTAACCCAATGCACATTCTGCAATCCTCTGGGAATGCAATGGGATAATGCAATGGCGATACCAGGAGCTTAATCTCCGTGACTTCAACCTATTATTGCTGTTGGTGTAGAATCCTTTCGTGTCGACATGGAAAGTTTGACCAAAAGTAAATTCTCATATAATCTGGACCTGAAAAAATGTATGAATCAATAACTTCTATACTACATTATTATAATATATCTATTTTTCAGTAAAATAAATATTTGCATGATCTGTCTTTGTAAAATCGCCGTCTTCCAGGTCATGGCAGCACCAAACAAAACTTAAATTAGAGACAACCGATTTAATGATCAACTGGATTATTATAAAAGAAAATATGTTGATGAAAAATCTGTATACAGTGGGATAAAAAGCTGGATTTATCCCCACCATTCACAAAGGCAACATTAATTCAACATTGCACATTTAGAATATAATTCAACTTTATTGTCTTTACACAGTCACAAATACAGAGCAATGAAATGAACTTTTTTACAGAGTTTACAGATAAGCTATCCTCATCTGTCACTCTACTTTGTGACCATGTAAAACTGTGCTTTTGGGTTAGCATCTGACTATAAATTGTTAAAAATGAACACAAATACTGCGTCTGGATCAGTTTTAGGTTTGAAAAATCATATTGCAGATAAGGATTTTTTTAACATCCTTCACCCATAAATTTCCACAGTTTAGCAATTAGTATATCTTTACGTTTATAGGAACACATGATAAAAAAAAGTTTGAAGCTGCTGATTTTGAACACCAAAATTCCTTAGCACCTAATATGAGGATATGATTGGTGTTTACAATTAAGTCTGCATATATTTAATACACACAAACCTTTTGAAGATCAGGGACAAAGTAGAATACATTTGTAGAAAAACAGAGAAATTACAAAGAAACAAACAAAGAAAAAGAAATTATTTGAAAAAGGTTTTACGTTATTTTTATTCCCCGGTTTTACATTTTTCTACAATTTCTGAAGAGCATAATGAAGCCTGAGTTGATTCGCTTAGTAGAGAAGGTTCAACTCTGATCTGCACGCTTCACCACTGGTTCTATTACTTTATGACCACGATGTCTCTTTGACTTGAGCAGCTTTACCAGGGTGTTTTCTTGAAAAGCTTAATGAAAAAGTAAAAAAAAAACTTTTGTTTCTCCTATTTTATCGACGCTTAGCTGTAGCTCAAGGGAACAAATTGCCACAGTTCCCAGTTTGATGTCAGTCTAAGTAGATTTTCTTCAAATTGTTAATAGAGATTGTTAAAGAAAAGAAGAAACAAATAGTTATACATAATAGCTTTCCTTTAATAATTATTTAATGACCCAGACAGTTTAAATCTGATTAGCCTTATAACAAAATAAAACCACATACACTGTGTTCCCATTGGAGGAAATAATTGCATATACAGTAAATGATAGTTGCTGGAATCACGTTGTAAATTGCTTCTCTGGCTTGACGTGTATAGAAGGTTTCAAGGAACTGAAAGAGCACATTAACTATACTTTTCGGTTGTAATTAAATAAAACTAACTTCCTTTCAATGGAACTTTGCAATTATTTTTATTATAACATTTGCAGAGCAGTGAGAAAGTAAGACCGCACTTCTTTTTTTTTAATGCATTACATCTTGGCCAGGCTTGCCCTGCATGGAGATGATATGTAGTTCCCTTTGCTGCCACCAACAGGACAAACCTTGAAATTAAATAAGGTAAGGTAACACATTTTAAAGCCTTATTTGCTGTGCTGACTTTAAATTCCTCTCACTCATTTCCCACTGAAATTAATTTCAACCAGAAACTTTTGATGCAGACAATCAGCAATGATCCTTGGCAACCCGTCCACATTTCACCACCCTAAGCACCCAATGCTCTCCTCCTCTTCCTCCTGAAGCCAAAGTCCACATTAACATTGTAATAGAAAAGTGTGTTAAAGCACAACTCTAGCAGCCTGACAAGAAGTGAATTGGATGTCAGAGGGATTCCTGCTCAGTTTAATTGAATCTGCCCGGCGTTAAAAAAGAAAATCTGAAGTCAAAATAACCTATTAGATCTATCAGTTAATGTTTTGTTGAGTTTGACAGGTAGAACGGCACTGCCCTCTCTGATCTGCAGTCCTGCAGGCTGTGTAATGCACAGGCCAGGTGGGAGTGGTGATGCCGTCGTTGTTTTCTGAAGTTGACTCGCTGAAGCCCCTCAGTAAGGGGAATTAAGGCTTTCAGCGAACTACAGCTTATACTACCTGCCTGTTCTGCAACATTTTAGATCAGGTGGTCTAAAGAAAAATTCACAAATTCCTTTAATATTTGTAAAGAAGTAAAATCAAGCACTGTGTTGAGTTTATCCCCCCAAATCTTTTGCTTTTTAATTTGAAAACGCACTTTTGCTTCAACGCTCTAAATGCCAACATTAGACAAAAATAGCCTGAGTAAAAACAAAATGAAAATTCTACATATTTCACTATTTCCCTTATGTATCTGTATTTTTAGTATTTGAATTGTCCTATTGACTGCCGTACTTTGAGATGTCCAAAAATTAAAAGTGCTTCATAAATACAATTATTACTAATAAGTATCAACCCCAACCACAAATAACTAGTTGTTCTGCCTATTTGTTGTAACTGCTAATGAAATTTTTAAATCACTTTTGGGTCATTTTAGCTAACTCTTCCTTATATTAGGATTATTAGAGGCCACCAAAGTTGGAACAGATTATATAAGTTCATGTCACGCTTTATCCCAATCAGATTTAAGTCAGAATTCAAGCTCTCATATGAATTTTTTAGTATTTCAGATGTGGCCTTGCTGGTTTGCTTTAGAATGTAGTCTTTCTACACAACACCAGTAAGCTTAAGGCTGCAAAGTCACTAGCCATCACACCATTGCAGCCACTATTGTATGATTGTGTTTTTTTTTTTCTCCCTTATTCTCTAATCCGGTTGTTTTGCCAGGATAATGGTTTGCTTTTGGTCAACAGTGGTTTTGGTTTTAGCACTCTTTCCTTATTGTTCAATCCTGATCTTTCAACCTTACTGAGACATTTACTATAGTAAAGAGCTTTAGATGCTGTTCTGGGTCGTTCAGTGGCCTCCTGAATGACTCATCGATAAGCTTATGGAATGAATTCTGGTGGGTTGGCTACTAGTGGGAAGGTATCCAGTATTCCATGTTTTCTATAGAAGGATTTGTTTTTAACCAATGTTCTCTAAAGTCCCAAAACATTAAACAGCCAGGCCGATGATTCAATCGAGCTCTGCTGCTGCTATAGCATAACAGTTCAATGGTTTGTCATCTTTTGTTGTCATAGAAGGTGTTTTCCCGAACTTATCAAGGTTGATGGATATTGTTGGGGACCCAAATACAGAGCTGAAGAGGCAGAGATGATTCCTTGCCAAATTTAATGAAGTGAAAATATATAAGCCATAATCCAGAACCAAATGTTAAGAAACTCTGTAACCGAAAACTAGGAGACTTTAGGGAAGAATAAACCTGAGTAATAACAGGGATCCTGCATTGAGTAACAGAACAGGAGGTGTATAAATGGGAGACAGAAACAATGGGGGGACTAATTAGTTGATAGGGAGCAGGTGTAGACAGAAGTAACTAGAACAGGCATCCCCAAAGTCGGTCCTCGAGGGCCGCTGTCCTGCAGGTTTTAGAGGTTTCTCTGCTTTAGCA